GATTAGCTAGGCTCAATTAAATTAATTTCATGTAATTAGGCCCAATCTGCCAGAAATCTGGTTACCCCGGAATCGATCCCCGTTCCCTTCGTCGTTATTTAGAAAGAACCCCCTAGTTTAATCGTTTTATTCGCATTAGTTTAATTTTCCAACCAATCAATCTCGCACGACGCATTTATTTTATTTTCTTTTTAATCGCTGAATTTAGTTAATTCTTAATCCCCTTTTGTCCGTCCCTGTGGAGACGATACTCGTACTTACACCACTATATTACAATCTTTTTAAGTGCGAGAAAACTCACATCACACTTATAATGAGAAATCTTTTCACATGTATTTCAACTACTTACTCATATGTCTACACAATCTTTACTTACATTATACGGAGTAATATTAATATGTCTAAGGTTTTCTTGACAGATAAAGATTGGAAATCCTGGCATATCATGGAAAAAACCATGCAAATTTGTATTGTGGGATCATGAATGCCTTCTACTACTTGGAGGATTAGCTCTAGATCTTAAAAACCAGATGCTTGAGGTTGGTAGGCAAGGAAATTCCTATCTCAGAAGGCCAAGTGCCAACAACTTATATCATGAATGACTTGCATCGATTAGAATCCAACCATTTGTTTTACATTTTTTTTTTTAGAATTTAGAGTTTTTGTCCACACAATTATTAGCCGGCTTATCTAATCTAATACCTAAAAGCACTACATATGAGAGAGAAAATTGTCCCGCTCAATTGTTTGCAAGATAATCTTCTAATACCTAGAACCGCTACATATGAGAGAAAATTCTCTCGCTCAATTATGATCAAGTTTATCTTCTTATAGTTAAAACCACTACATATGAGAGATAGTATTCTTCCGCTCAATTATTAGCCAGCTTATTTTATCTTATACTTAAAAGAATTGCAAATGAGAGAGGATGCACCCCGGCTCAATTGTTAGCAAGCTTATATTCTACTCCGTAGTAATAGTTAAAAACACTACACATGAGAGAGAAAATCCACCCCCTCAATTTTCAGCCGATTGATATGATACCTAAAAGCACTATATATGATAGAGAAACTTCTCCCGCTCAATTATTAGCTTGATTATGTTATAATTAAAAGAATTACATATGAGAAAGAAAGTTCTCCCGCTTAATTGCTATCAAGCTTATCTTCTACTTTGTAGTAATAAAAATACTTAAAAGCACTACATATGAGTTCTTTCAATCAATTGTTAGCCGACTTATCTTATACCTAAAAGCACTATATATATGATAGAGAAGATTATCCCGCTCATTTATTAATTTGATTATCTCATACGTAAAAGCACTACTTATGACAGTGAAAATCTCTCACTCAATTGTAAGATGACTTATGGCTAATGATTCTTATACCTAAAAACACTACATGTGAGATAGAGAAATCTCTGGCTCAATTATTAGCTGGATTATCTTATTGTATACCAAAAAGCACTATATATGAGAGAGAAAATTATCCTCTTTCACATAATCGAGCAAGTTAATACCTTAGTAGCCCACCATAGGAGTTCACAAAAGCAGCCAATTCTTCCGCGCAAAGAGGTCATTATTGTTCCTAGCTGGTCTTCTACATCTTCATTAAATAATTACATAATTCGTGTTAATTTACTTTCTACTGTTAGATTGTTATGGCTTTAAACGTTTTTGCTCATACCGAGTATATATTTTCAATTGCAAGAACTTATGCTTTGCAAGTTTATTATCATGAGCCCGTTTGATGATCTTGTATATTTTGAATATTTTTTTTTTTTGCATAAATCAGCAGAATCAGCAAATTCAGGTATTTCAACCAGAGCATCATATATTTCAACGGAATCAACCGATTCACCGGCAATAATAATAATAATACTAATAATAATAGTAATGATAATAATAATAGTAATAATAATAATAATAATAATAATAATAATAATAATAATAATAATAATAATAATAATAATAATAATAATAATAATAATAATAATAATAATAATAATAATAATAATAATAATAATAATAATAATAATAATAATAATAATAATAATAATAATAATAATAATAATAATAATAATAATAATAATAATAATAATAATAATAATAATAATAATAATAATAATAATAATAATAATAATAATAATAATAATAATAATAAGAATAAGAATAAGAATAAGAATAACAACAACAATAATAATAATAATAATGACAATACTAAAATATATTGGAAATCTTATTCATTTAGAATTTATTTAGAATTCATTTGGTAAAACTAAAATTGTAAGATTCTATTTAATAAAGTTATGGCTAAATTATGAATAAATTGTTTTTAAAATATATTATACTAATAAAATAAATAAAAATTATTTGAAAAGTAGGTAAAATGTCTTCTGTGGTAACTCCAGTCAATTCAGGCATAAAAGTAACTCCAACCTTATTCATTTTGATTATTATATAATCCAGCGCACGATATACAAAAACATATTAAAATTCATAAATAATTCTGGTATTTCTTATAACACCAATATTGCATATTAAAATTCATAAATTCATTTTTATCCATAAATACTTATTTGAGAGGTTTTTCTTTATAGTCACTTTGATATAGTTTTAGACATTGTTGTAATCACTAAAATGAATAAGTTATACTACCTCCATTCCTAAAAATACTTCCCGGTTTGACTTGGCATGCTTATTAAGAAAGTGGAATAAAGTGAAAATGTATGGTTGTAGTTATGTAAGAAAAATGTAAATTGAATGTGAATCCCACAAATTGTCCAAAAAGGGAAAGTGAGAAGTATTTTTGGGAACGGCCCAAAAAGGAAAGTGAGAAGTATTTTTAGGAACGGAGGGAGTATTAATTGTCATGATTTAATTAATTTTAAAATTTAGTACTATTCTAAAAAAGTGAATACAATAAATATTAAAATTAACGAATACTAAGGAGTACATATTAGTTAAATAAGAACTTGCTGCTCCTTAGTTAAATTAGTGCTAGCATATGGGGGAGAACTTGCTTTTGTTATTATGCATTGTAGGTTACAAATTCGTTTTTTTTATTTCGTATAATTTAATCAATTCTCTAATATTTACCTAATAATCATTTTTGAATTTTAATAAACCAATGTTTTAGTTTTGTGCCAAAGAAAAAAAAGTTATTTTTATGAGAGAGAAAATTCTTCCGCTCAATTATTAATCTGCATATCTTCTTACATACCTAAATGTACTACATATGAAAGAGAGAGAAATCCTCCCGCTCAATTATTAGTTCACTTACATTCTTTATTATACCTAAAAGCATTACTTATGAGAGAGAAAATTCTCACACTCAATTATTAATCTGCTTACCTTATGCCTGAAGGCAATACATATGATAGAGAACATTATTTCGCTCAATTATTAATCCGTTTATGTTATATCTAAAAGCATTACATATGACACACGAGATTCACCTGCTCAATTATTAGTCCGTTTATCTTATCTTATACCTAAATGCACTACATATGTAATAAAAAATGCCCCCGCTCAATAATTAGTCTGCTTATTTAGTATACCTAAAAGTAGAGAGAGAAAATTATCCCACTCAATTATTACTCCATTTATCTTAACTTAACTTATAACTTAAAGCACTACGTATGAGAGAGAAAAAAATCTCCCGATCATTTATTAGTCTGCTTATCCTATATGAATACAAAAAAAACACTACATATGAGAAAGAAAATTCTTCTGCTCAATTATCTGTTGTTAATACTAACCATATTGAAGTTGAAATCTACCAATTTGAACTGTATTATACTAATAATTAGACAATAAAAAATACTCCTTCCATATCAAAATAAGAGTCTCAGTAGGCTTTGCACGTATTTTAAGATAGTTTATAGGTTTACTGTACACTTTTTGAAAAAGTATGAGATTTTTGGTACTGTAGCTACTTTTGGGATGGTTTTATTTCCTAAAATGAAAGTGAGACACTTATTTTGATATTTTGATATGGCCAAAAGGGAAAGTGAGACACTTAGGCCTTGTTTGGAAATCGGCGGTTAGCTGTTAGCTGTTAGCTGGTTACGACAGCTGATTGGAAATAGCTGATTGTGTCAGCTGTTTTAGTTGGCTGATTATGTTAGCTTGTTATGAGCAAGTGTTTGGTAAATTAGCTGTTTATGAATAGCTGTTTAAGTGTAAAAAGACATATAGGGACATTAGTAATTTATTCTATTTTTAATTAGTGCTTATAAAAACAATAATTCCTACGTTTGCTTACAAAATATACATCATTCAATTGATGTTAAAACTACATGAAGAAAAATTAAAGAAACATATTGATTTAATTTGAGTAATATGAGTTCGCATTACAAAGTGTGTCTTACAAAATAATTAGCATACTTAGGTTAACTAAAAATAAAATTAATATCCACTTAATCAATTGTGGCGGCGTTTAGCTTGCATCAAACTTGATGTGATACTATTACGGACAACCCTCATCTCTTGAGTTCTATACTCACGTCATTTTGCGTAGCATCCCTTTCAACATCTTCAAATACATCCGGAGGTATGAATTCGGGATCCTCATCAAGATATCTAAAACCCGGGTCTCCAATTGAGCTCTTTCTAATGTAATTATGCAATGCGAAACATGAACAAATTATCTTATTTTGATCCATTAATGAGTATCTTGGCATTTTTTGCAATATTCTCCATCGAGCTTTAAGAACACCAAAGGCTCTCTCAATACAGCTTCTTAAAGATGAATGTGCTCTATTAAATACCTCTTGAGCTCCTCTAGGATGTGCACCACGAAATTCCGATTGATGGTACCTTATCTTAGGGTAAGGAGTCAAATATCCATCTCTTTCTGGATAACCTTTGTCAACCAAATAATATTTGCCTGCAATTATACATAATTTATGTTAAATTTTCATATATAGGAGCTCTTTGGTTTCAAAAAAATAGAATTACCTCTAGGTGGTTTCGGAAAATTGAGAGATGGGTTGTTGATCGTGTCTAGAAAAATGCGAGAATCATGAGCTGATCCCTCCCAACCCGTTAAAACATAAGTGAATAGCAAATCAAAGTCACACACTGCCAATACATTTGTAGTTGGTATCCCTTTCCGTCCCCTATAGCGCAATTGATCCTCTTCTGGAACCGTTATTGCAATATGTGTACCATCAATAGCTCCGATGCAATTCTAGTTTTAATTAATAAAAATAAAAATGAATTGCATGTGAGTACACCCCCAATACACTCAAATAATGACATTTACTTAACATTTCACTCACCTTGAAATGAGGCATATATCTATCATCATTAGCAATTTGAGGTGGAATATCCTTGAAATCTGGATCTTTTGGTACAAGCAAGTCCCTCGAAAATCCATCCATTGCATTCAACACTTCCTTAAAAATTCTACTCACGGTTTCCCCTGAATGTTGAAAGCGCTCTTGGGCGTCTCTATTAGAAGCTCCCTTGCTCAAGACATATACAAGTAAACCAACTTTCTCCAAAACAGACATCCTATATGATGACCTCAATCCATACTTGTTTTCTAAATCAAAACATAATTCACGAAATGTTTGTTGGTTCATTCTAAAGGCATTAAAACACCTCTTATCATGACCATTCAATAACTCAATCATCCACTTTTCTCCTGTTAAATAAGAGGTCATACACGGTTCTTTGTAGAGATGATTCACAAAATAGGAGCCCATGTAACTTGCTACACAAGAAATCAAATCTACAAATTCATCTTCTTCTTTTAAATACTCTAAACATAAGAGAAGTTGTGCAATTTTCAGGTCATCTGTATCCATACCTACACATAAACATGTACAAATTTGGAATAAGCATGTATCAAATTCATAATGATGACAATAACAAAAAGAAGAAAAAAAAAACAATAATAATAGCTTAACAAAATAAGACTTTGTAACACAGTTGATCCTTTGACAAGCAAAAGTTTAATGTTGCACCCAACATAACAAAAAGTTGAAACATTATAAGAAGTTTAGTTCCCTGACTTCTTGTACATAAACTTGATGTACTCAATCCTACTATTGTCATCCGGTAAAGAAAAGAAAATTGTCCGGCGTTGTGGATCTTCGAACATTGAGCAAGCAAAGAAAAACTCAGGAGAAGTTGAAGACAGACCATCCAAACAAATGAGTTTTGCCATAGCTTCTCCAAGACTATACTCTGACTCATGAGTACTTGAATTGGATTTAATCATATCCTTCATCAATCTAGTAACTTCATTGAATGACTCATTCCTTTTTGCAACTACTTCCATCATACCACCACACATATCTTGGAATATTGCCATCCCTCCTTTCTTGACGTGATTTGGACGTGCACTTTTACTACTTTGTGATGAATCACCCTCAAAGTTCCTCTTACCCGCTCTTACATCATCATTCTGAATTTGTGTATTTTGGCGGACAGGTGTAGCAGGTGATGTACCCATAGGATTAAACTCACTCCATATATCATCCCATGATGCATTGCCCGTACTCCCTCCCCCAATATACTCATTTTCACCATTAAGAGTATCATGGTGAACCACGGGAGGTGGAGAAGGAATATAAACATCATCCATATCAGGTTGCAAATCTTCCTGTGAGGCAATATTTCCTGGAGTATACTTCAGATTTCCTTGGGCAGAACATGAAAAAATTTGATCCATTTTACACTCTAGCTCAGGCTCAATCCCTTCATCTTGAAATGATTCAAACTTGGCATTTTCCTATATATAAAAAATTAATATTAATCTTTTTTCTATGGATAAGTACTATAGTAAAATTTATTAAGAAACCAAACTAACCTTAATCTTTAAGTCCCACCAATCACTAGAAGCATCAATAGTTCCTTTGACATGATCCCATCCCAATCCTGTATCTTTCGCCTTCAATTGTTTCCATAGCGTCCACCTATTTCTCATCCAATCTACCTTATGTTTTAATTTCGTTTTATCCCATGGGAACTTAGTGAGTCTTTCAAATTCAGTTTCAATTTTTTTCCATGCCAGCCTCTGAGAGGTCACTCCTCCACTTTTCCCTTTACTCTTTATAACATGTTTGATGCAAAGGTCACACAGAATGTGAAGTGAGCTCTTTGACCAAACAACTCTTCCTCCTTTATTTTCAACTGTATTTTCAGTTTCATCTATACTTCTCTTCCGCTCAGGAGCCATCTAAAACTCAATTATAAAGTAAAATATACACATACCATTACTTAAACACTTTTTAAGGGGTATATAATTATATATGAAGCCAAAGCAAGCCCCTTGGCTTTTGTACTTCTCCAATAGTAACTCGTAACATTAAAATGAATACATCAAAATCACATTACATACAACAAGTAGTTTTATATGAGTTTTCTATTTAATAGTATAAACAAAACGGAATACTAGTTATTCACTAGTATACAAACACACACCTATGATTCATACATGCCAAAAGGTTATGGTGAAGGAATTATAACAACGTATAATTTTAGGAGGTTTATAAACCAACATATAATTCATAGGTAACTGGCAGAGTGAAATAAGGACTGACCATTATAACTAAGGACTGACCATTATAAATTAACGTATAAGGACTGATCATATATCACTGCTCTAAAACCTAGTTGAAGAAGGTTATGGTGAAGCAATGCATTTTCTATTTACCGGCCAGTACCTTCACTTGATGTCTAAAGAACCCATCATCAATTCCATTAGAAAAAACACAACAATTGATCAAAATGGTATGTTCAAAAATCACGTAGAAGACATTTTCTAGCTATTAAAGTTATAGGATCATTAGTTTGAGGGGTGCCACTTTGATAATGTGCAACTGTGAGCTATCAAATATCTTTTTAAAACTGAAACACCACAAAGTAAAAACACAATCCCACCACAAAGTTGTTAGATAAAAACAGAGTAATAGATGGACAAAGGCACAAGAAGTCAAAAATAGATCTGCAATATATTTCAGATTGCTGCACTGTTTAAAATAAAGATTACAACCTTGCTTTTATACTACTAAATCTGAAACAAACTTCACATCAAAGTAGGATCATAATCCCACAACTAGATAACAACTTCCCTAATCATTTGAACCACACACCCACTAATTTATTTGCTCCTAAAAGTACTCCAACTGACACTTTGACTCAATCTTACTAGAATAATAAACTTAAGCTGCGAATGATACGGAGTATATTGTTTGAATCAAATCCCAACAAAAGTGAGAGCTTTCAAAGGCCAATAGTTTTTTACCATCAAATGTGTAAAAAAACGGAGACAAACTATCTGATATTAACCACACAGAAGGTGATAAAAGCAAACACAAAATAGAGGATTTTTTTGCCGTCCATTCCCTGAACATGCTCACACTATTGACTTTAATAGAAAATTCTTCAGATTGCATTCTATACAAACAAAGAACAAAAGAACCAGGAATGTTTTTCAATTGAGTGGAACTACTATATATTGATTTGTAATTGCGAATCCTATTTGGTACACCAACAGACTAACAAGTGGAGAAAAAAGAAGACAGCAACGAACAGATAGATCGAAGAAACAAACAGAGAAAATAAAACATAAACAATAAAAATAAATAAAATTAATACGTAATTACGTAAACATACCAGAAAGGGAGACGTCCGATGAAGAACAAGGTACTGTGAAGAAGAAGAACTGAGACGTATATGACGGAATATGAAGGGAGGCGTGCGTGTAATCGGGGGCATAAAAGGGAGAAACACGAACCGCCAAACCTAAACGCTGCACTCACTGGCGTTTTGGTTTTTGGCTGTTTGGATCCAATCAGCTAAATTAATCAGCCATTTACCAAACACTAAATTTAGCTGATTGAGTAGTCAAAGTCATTAAATGTGGTCAAAGAAGCTGAAACTTGGCTGATCAGCCATTTGCCAAACATGGCCTTAATGTGATACGGAGGGAGTATAATGTTGTAAAGAAGAATCATCCGTATCGAGGTTGGAAAAGAAGCAGGTTGTCTAAAAAATCTTGAGATTTTTTTAGAATTTTATATATGCAATATTGGTGTCATATGAAAGATCGTAAAAAATATGAGTTTTGATATACTTCTATTTATATATAAGAAAAGAAGTACCTCATAAAAATTAGATAAAAGATGAAAAAGTTAAAACACTTTAAAGAAAATGGCGTTTTTAATTTATATATAGGGACCCATAAATTGATATCACGTGCGTTTCACTTCTTGGTTGATTAAATGCTTCCCTTCCTTTGAATTTGATTGTCCCATATTATCCTTCAATTTGCCATGTGTCATTTGTAGAGTAGAAGAGTGAATTGTGGGGAGAATGACACATAGATTTCATTATTAAGGGTAAATTTGTATTTTTATGAGCTACTTCTTTTCTGATATATAAATAGAATAGAAAACATACATAACAGGTCAAAAACGGTTAAAGTATTTTTTTTAAAGTAAGCGTACTCATATGATATACTCCCTCTATCCCCTTATAATTGTCTCATTTTTCCATTTTTGGATGTCGCCCTATTATTGTCTCATACCATTTTTGGTAACATTTGTGTGACTCTAATTCGTTCTCGCTTTATCAACTCATTATCAATCACATATTTCTACTTTTCTTAAACATCACACCACTTCTTTCCGTCCCAATATTAGGGGGGCGGAAGTAGTACTTTTTTTGTATATAATCTTAAGTGATAATTTAAAAGTAATAGAAGAAACATTTTGAACATTTTCCTAAATTTTCCTAATAAATAATGATAAACACACTATATTGTTTATAACCTTTTAGAACAAAATTTTACATCATTCGGTCGTTTCTTCCTCACTCTTTTATAAGTTATTTATGTTCCTTTTCAAATTATGATTACTATGTAGTATTACCCACTTACCGTACAACAGTCAACTAACGTATCCATATTCTTTTAAACAATTATTTAAGTATAATAATCTTTGGTTATATTCATATTTGTATTTTCAATTCTATAAACTTACTGTTTCTAAAAAAAACAAAATTTATAAACTTACAATCTATAACATATATCATGATAACACAAACTAAAATATTAGATATGATATTGAGTTGATATTTTCCCTTTCTTTTTCTTTAAAATATACTTTTCATTTCTCGAAAAATTAATCATGACCTTCTCTTACGGGATACACATACTACTTTGAGAATATTTCTAATTTATCACGGAACAGGAAAATACGTGTCCCTGGGATAGATCTGCCACATGTATGCTTCACATAAATCGTGGCATCCATTGATATTTGATACTGTCATGAAGCAACAACCCACAAGTCATGGCTTTTGTGGGATAACCGTATGAGCTCAGTGACCCATGACTTTTCTTCAAGGCCAAAATCCCATAGATAAGGGGGTCAAGTCTGATTTCATTAGTTCGGGCTTAGAGATTGGCTTCATATAATAAAGGAAGAACTATCAAATAAGCCCCACAACTTACATAAAAAGTGCAAATCATCCCTTAGCTTATATAGGAGATTCAGTCCGGTCATCGTTATTTGGGGTGATTCCCGGTAGCATTTTTTGATTAAATTTGTTGAGAATCTTATTCATTAAATCTAGTTTACTCATACCAAATTTCAGCTAAAATTTCAATCGAGAAGACACTCAAATGAATTTTTGAAAATAATTGCGCAGTCAAACAACGCGCATTATATTTCAGAAAATGTTTGACTGCCTTCCCGGTTGAATTTTTATCTGAAATTTGGTGTGGGTAAAATAGACTTAATGAAGAAGATGCTCAAAAAAAATTCATCAAACAATTCCACCGGGAACCACCCCAAATGGTGACTGCCGGGCAGAGCCTCCTATATAATGGATGATTTGCACTTTTTAAGTAAGTTCGAGGACTTATTTGGCAGTTCTCCCTATAATAAATGCTATTTCAGGATCAGAATTCTCATATTTCCACTTTGGAAAATAAACTTTTGATCTCTCATATTTCAGGATCATCATAAACTATTGATGATCTCTCAATTAATCATCATATACAAATGTCATATCCATTTTTTGAGATTGTAAATGTCACCATTGAATTGATAAATGTGTTGTAAATATCATTCCCGCCGTTTATATATTTATCGAGAATGACATTTACAATACATTTGTCAATTCGGAGTGTCATTTACAATTTCAGAAACACTTATCTAACATTTCAATATAGTGAGTAATTGAGTGATGAAATAATCATATTTTTTCCTTTTGTTTACCCCAGGTTCAGGGAGAGGTTGATGGAGACTAAGGGCATCCATATCCATAGATTATTTTTTAGATCATTTTGATGATAGATGTGGAAGATTTTTTTTGGGATCATGGATGAGGAGTTGAGATTATTTTATGAGATTATTTGATAAAATAATCTGGTATAAAATTCTAAAGCTGAATTATTTTGAGATTATTCCAACTTCTAGGCATATACTCATAATTATGGTGATGACTAACTTTGTAGTTCGTGCATGCTCATGCTCCCATCCAAGGTAAATTAAGATCATGAATGAGGAGAAATTTATTGGTTTGAAGATTATTTGAGATTATCTTATGTGGAGGCCAGGTGATCACATCCACAATAATAAACCATGAAAAAACGTAAAATTGAGGATCATCAATGTGGATGCTCTAAGATAAGTAGAGTTGAAATTTCTTATATAGAAGAGTGTGTTGACCACCAGTTGAGCTGAATCGGTTTCACTTTACTCTTACACATCATCATCATCATCATCATCATCACCTCAATGTCGCAAAGGCTCCCATCAATGATGGAGTAAAGGGGGTCGGGGTGTATGCAATCTTACCTCTCTGGCTCTCACTATAGCACAAAGAGATTATTTGCGGATTATATGGTCCAGAATGAAAATCGCGTTCTACTGACTAATAAAGAAGCGCAAGCAATACAGTGAAACATTTTATGTTGTTACATCATATGCTCGAGCCAAAACATACTAGAGAAGTTCACAAAAATAATTTTAAGTTTTTTAACTAGTACATTATTTCACAAAAATAAACCATGAGGTGTTAACTTTTATGTTAGTTCTTTTAATAACAAATATAATGAAGCACAAATATATACTCCGTATTAACTGTGTTTTATTTGAATTTTATGTTATTTCTACAATAAATTTAAACTCATCAAAGTCTGAATATTTTTAGTATCCAATATTTTCATAAAACATAATATAATTCTTTTAACACATACTCATCAAAGTCTCTATATCTTTTATTTTCTATCAAAGAATATTATTCTCTATCAAAGAACAATATTATTTTTATTTATAATCATTTTTTATTCATTATAACAGAGTTTTCAAAATAATTTAATAACACTACATTAAATATTACTTCATTAATTAAGTTGTTTGAATGTAAGGGCCCGTTTGGTAGTTTACACATTAAAACTTTACATGCAAAGTGATTGCATGTAAAGTTTAGGGACGTAAAGTAGTTTGCATGTAAAATAGAAATAGTAATCTATTTTTAAAGTACTCATTGACCATGCCACCGAGCTTCTAATTAACATGCAGAGAACTAGCTTCAAATTGACGGTTGGCCTCAGACCTTGAATTGTGAGAAGATGAAACAAATAAAAAAGGGAGAATTTGACTTTGCACCTCACTTTTTGGGTGATATTGGACTTTGCACCCCATTTTAAAAAACATTTGACTTTGCACCCTATCATCTAAAATTTGTGAAGGAAAATTTCAAAATAGGGTGCAAAGTCAAAGGATTTTGAAGTGAAATGGGGTGCAAAATCAAAGTTTTTTTTAAAATGGGGTGCAAAGTCCAATTTCATCCCAAATGTGGGGTGCAAAGTCAAATTCCCCCAATAAAAAATTGTGACTTTATTTGAAGCTTCCACAAAAGATTAATCACTAAAAAGTAGGTATTCTACTTAATCAAATACTAGATAGAAAATCACTAAAATCAACTAATTAACGGAGTGCAAAGTAACTAACGTAGATAAAGAAGAGATTCGATGAATTGGTGAAACTATTTTGTTTATTACTCAGTATATAGGAGAAAACATGAGCCTCTTTCAAACCAATTTTTTTGCTTTACCGCCAGAGTGGAATCTCCACCGTGTAGGGAGCCGTCTAGGTCTCAAACTCTCAATCATAAACTGGAGTTCCGTATATTTATTGCAGATCGGATAAACAGATGTAAAGTAGTTTACAGCCTCCTCCCAGGTAAAATATTTTACATCATACAGTGTAAAATGTGTTTAAAAAAGTGACCTACAGTTTACATTAAATAGTTAACACAAACGGCGTAAAATGTTTACTTTCTCAAACTTTACACGCAAAATGTTTACTTTACATTAAAACAAACGAGCCCTGAAGTATATGAAAAATGTAAAATTATATTACAACTATTAAACAAGGGAAGGGAAGCATATAAAAAACAATGTTCTTTTGAACCTCATTAATAACCGCAGTAACCTTCAAGTGAGTTTTCAAAGTAACTTTTAGATGCTTTGGTGTGTATAAAACATGCCTTACGAAGATCGATGGGGAATAAATTCCACTTTTGGTCCTACGAGTTTTAGGTCAATTTCACATTTAGTCGACATCTTTCGCTTTGTCCACTTTTGATAAATGATCATTGGATTTCCGCCCATATATGCTCCTTTCGGCATTGTTTCCGATGGTTAAAATCGTTGGAAAAGAACCACAAATAGTTAAAAAGCATTAGTCAAATACCAAAAGTAGACAAAGTAAAAAGACATGGACTAAAAGAGGAATTGACACCAACCTCGTAGGACCAAGAGTGAATTTAATTCGAAGATGGGGC